TTCTGTTTTTGGGAATATTCAGGCCTTAATACTTAGATGGGTATGTATTTTGGTATTTTTTTAATGCTTTCTGATTGCCTCCAGGTAGATGTGATCAGGAAATGGGCTTCCCTTTTCACTCTTCTTCTTGAGAAATTTCAAGATGCTACTGTTGGTCATTGTGACATAACTTAGGATTTAATTTGTGGCCTATTTCCTTTTATGTCTGCTTGTCCTGCTCCACAATTCCCATTCAGGTCTTTTTTCTAGTTATAAACAATTCAGGGCTGGTTCTGGCTGTTTGCTTTTAAGTGAAAACTGTCTCTTTAAATTTGATGAGATCTGTGTGCATGCATAGTAGAACCCTCCGAGGGTGGGGCTGGGGTTTCCACTAGCTCAGGCACCCCTATTGTCACCAGAATGGAGGTGCTCAGACAGCAAGGGACCAATGAACAGATACCAAAAGAAAAGAATGTCCACACCTTTATCTCTGTGGTTCTGTCAGGTGTCCCTGGCTTCTCTGATCCTTCACCCCACTTGGTGTCACCCAAGATGAGTTACATGAGTTACCATATTTTTGGTAACTTCTATGCATCTGTAGCTAAAACTCACTAGCTTTTAAAGTAAGCAAAAATGAGTGATATTAGTGATTGTGTAGAGCAGAGACTGAATGGGATCTCTTTGGCACAAAATAAATTCCGAGCTTGCTTTAATTGGACTGAGTCCTTGAGTATTGCAAAACCAGTGAAACATGTACTAATATATATGTTGTTGTTAAGTCTCCATAGAGTAAGTTCTGACTCATAGAGACCCCATATAGGATTTCTGAGGAGCAATTGGTAGGTTGAACCACTGACCTTGTGGTTAGCAGTCCAGTGCTTATTCTATAGCATCACACCAACTTATCTCAAGGAAATAACTCACAAGTAGAGAACAGCAGCCCCAAGTCCGTGGGTCAAGGCTTCTCCTGACTCACATATCTCTAAGGGCTGGTAAATCCACATAGGCAAGTAAGACAGTAGGCTGCTGGTTCCCAGGCTTTGAGGGCTGATGATTCCCATGAGCCAGAGGTCAGATGATAACAACTCAGTGCAGGATCAAGCAAGTGATTGAGCTTTTCCAGAACATACATACACACATATGTATATATGGAGTCCTGGTGTGGTGCTTTGGGTTAACGTGCTAGACTGTAAGGTCAGCTAGAACAGCAAGATCAGTGGTTCAAGCTCACCAGCTACTCCTTGGAGCAGCTGAGCGTTCCGAACTAGAAAACAATGGATTCCTTGCTTCTGCCACAAATTCCCCCAGTTGTTAGCCTTCCAACCTTATTAATATTCCTTTATATGTGGTTCAGAGTTCTGGGACCATCCCCTGAGCCTGCTTGGTTGGGTATTCGGTATTGCTGCTGACAGAGCTCCTTAATGCACTTCCACCCGATCTGCCATCTTGTTTGGTCTCCCCTAAATTTTTTAATATCAT